CACTCCAGCCTGGGTGACAGAGTGAGACCCCAACTCAAAAATAAATAAATAGATAAATAATTTGGTGTTCATTATTTATCATTATAAATATAAATTATACATATGAATGGTCATTATAAATAATTGGTTCACAGTATGATATACAGTAGAGGCACACACATATCAATTTCCTTCCTTCCCCTTCCATTCCCTTAATTACACTGTCCATTAATGTCCTGTTTATGACCTAAGAAAACCCTGGGGACTTCTTCTGCTTTGCTGTTTTTTTCCCCAGCTTCTCTGGTCTTGAATTGTGTAATCCATCACTTTAAAAATTGCAAAGTCCAGCTCCTTTTCTGCACTTTTCAGTTTTCTGCTTGGCACGCAGGGACATCCCCCAAGAGAACTTTCTTGGGGCCAGTTGTGATCCTGGGGAAGGAGAAGGTGGGGAAGGTGGAGGGGAAGGGACATGACCTGCCCTGGGAAGTAAATGCCTCCTCCACTCGGTCCACCAGCTGGTGACCATATGTGATTCACAGCCCATCGTATGGTTGCTCTTCTTTGTTCCGTTTTGAAAGCGTTCCCACCTCTGTCCCATCACGCTTTGGCAGTTCTTTAGATTTGCAGGTCTGAGAACACATTAGCACCCAGCCCACGCACAATCTCCTGTACTTCACATCCTCACCCTGGGAACTTAAACCTACTCATTTTTGCCACTGCTACTCTTGACCCTTGTTCCTGCTTCCTCTTCTGTGAAAACAAGTGGCTTAGTTTAATGTAGTTTGAGATCCAGCAGACTTCTATAAGGATCAGAGCGTAAATATTTTAGGTTTTGCAGGCCAACGACTCAACTCTGCCTGAAAATAGCTGTCGACAATCTGTCAACAAACAAGTGTGGCCAGGCGCCAGTCAAGCCTGACTCACGAGCACTGAAATTTGAATTTTATCTCATTCCCACATGTCACAAAACGAAACAATTTCTTTGATTTTTTTTCCCTCACCATTTTTTTTTTAAAAGATACAGAGTCTTGCTCTGTCACCCATGGATTGCAGTGGCATGCATAATCTTAGTTCATTGCAGCCTCAAACTCCAGGGCTCAAGTGATTCTCCCGCTTCAGCCTGCCATGTAGCTGGGACTACAGGTGCATGCCACCATACCCTGCTAATTTTTATCACTTTCTTTTTTTTTTTTTTAAGTCAGAGTCTCACTCTGTTGCCCAGGCTGGAGGGCAGTGGCATGCTCACAGCCACTGCAGCCTCAACCTGTTGGGCTCAGGTGATCCTTCTGCCTCAGCCTTC